ACACACACACACACACACACACACACACACACACACACACACACACAAACACACACACACACACATATATATATAGAGTATTCTACATATATATATATATATATATATATATATGTAGAATACCCTTATATATATATGTAGAATACCCTTAGGTTTTCGCGATTATTTAAAAAAAAAGGTACACATAGGAAATGAAACTATTTTTCTGGATCTAAATCGTGTCCATGGGGCCTGTAAAGTGCTCGAAACGTTGGTTTGTTTGAAAACACAAATATACGCGATTTAAATCCTGAAAAATAGTTTCATTTCCTAGAATTACCTTTTTTTACATAATATTCATTTATATTTTAATTTCGATACAATATTTTAATACCTGATTAGAAGGACTTATAATGTCTGGTAGTTTACAACTTCGGTTAAACCCGCTGGTGCAATTATTCAATCCAATTTTGCTTTCTTAGGTCTAAAACTTCGTGTTCAGGAATAAACGGAAACCGACTCAACGACAGCTCGAAAAACTTCTTTAACTTTGTAACACCTTGAAAAATCTCGTTATAATAACGGTTAGACTGCAATATGTTTATGTGAGTGACATTGGCGAAAGTGTTTTTACTTTCAACAAAGTGAACTTCCGTGTCGTGCATGTCCCTCGTAATGGATCGAATAGCTGTGCGCGACTCGTCCTGAATGGAAACATGAAGGTCAACCTTTGAATACGATCATACAGCTTTCGTAATTAAGAAGTTACACAAATTGCGAAAAAAGATTAACAAGGGGCAAAAGGATAAAATAAATACCTATATAACACTGTATCTTCACTGATATTAGAATTAGAATATTAGGTAATCGAAATTGAATAAACTTTTATTCAATTTCAGTTATTTTTATTACATGGTTTTTTCTGAAATAACCTTATTTCATTCCACTTATTCATTTATTGATTACTATTAAGCAGTTTCTACAAAAAATACTTTTGAAATTAACTGCTCTGAGTTCAAAAATAGAAAAACAGTTATTATTATGTATGAAATCGTCACAAAGTTTAAACAATACTACTCGCACATAAGGCAGATTCCCTTTGAGAAGAATGAGTAAGAAACTCTAGGGGTTGCTCTCGTAAAATGCAGGGTTTGAAATTATCATGATAATTATTTTCTTTGATAACTATCCGATAATTATCCATACTGATTCATAGTTTGAACTTCTTAATTGTTGACTAAAAACTTGATGACTAAAAATTACAAACAGTGACAAAACTAAATAAATACGATGAAAATCTTTGGGAGCACTATTTGGTTTTGTAACTTTTTAGAGATTGACATTTGTCGTTTGGATACGTCTCTGGTACATTAAACACAAGGCACAACATCGCTAGCGGTAGATTTTGTGATTTTGTTGTTCCACTTAATTTTATAAGTATCAATATTTTTATCAAGGTATCTATAATTATCAAGATAACTATAGTGATTATCGTCAAGATAATTATTATCAATGATAATTATCACTTCGACTGTCGTACATAGATATTTGTTTGTATTTATCATTTGCAATATTTATTTCAAATAACTTACAAACAAACATGAAATTATTTGATTCACGGATTATTTTTATGAATTTTGTTACCTACGTACGTATTTATAACCTGTACAGCCTTTACCTGTACAACTTTTGGTAATAACCTTCCGCATAAAGTTTTTGTTTGAAAACAGTATTAAGCCTTTAACTAACGACAGATTTTGAATATCAACAGGAAACTTATTATAGAAGCGTACACGCTTCTTTCACAAACATGTGATGTTGTGAAGCGCCTGTCAAGAAAAGCCCGTTTATGTATATTCCTCGTAAAGCGTTTTTCAGCATGAACTTTGTTTTGTAAATCAAAAGAAAACAATAAATTTACATGACAATGATTCAAATTTTTATTGTATTAACAAGTAAGACTTAGCATTAGAGAAGGTAAGGTTTGGCAATTATGAATGAAAAATGATATCTGATAAATATCCACCACGGCCACAGTTACAGATGTCGATTCTTTCATCAAAGTTTTTAATCACTTAGGAAATGAAACTATTTTCCCGGATTTAAATCGCGTATTTTTTTTTTCAAACAAACCGACGTTTCGAGCCCTTTACAGGTCCCATGGTCACGGTTGACCTATCAGATATCATTTTTCATTCATAATTGCCAAACCTTACTTTTTTAATACAATAAAAAAATGGAATCATTGCTATCTAAATTTATTGTTCTATTTTGATTTACAAAACAAAGTTCTAGTTGAAAAACCCTATATTATTAATGTTATCACTATTTTTCATTTTCTTAAATGTTTTTCGAAGCTTGTGGAAGAATATTAATCGCTTTAACCTTATCTATCAGGGACACCCTGGGGCCCAGATTGTAAATTGCTCTTACAACACGTAAGGGCAATTTACAAAGACAAAGATTCTACTAACATCGGCGACTGTGCTTTAAAGCTTTTATAAAGCATCGTTAAAAAATAGCTGAAGCAAAACAATCAAGCGGATTCTGCGTCTGAAAATTGTCGCATTTTTTCATTTCGACAACATAGTTATTTGTGGACCCGAAGTCAATTAAGCATCTAAACTGGTATCTAAAAATATAACAAGGTTATTTTTCATTTTTAACAATGATGTTTGTGACCGTCTGTCTGACATTAGATATGTTAATTTTCACACAATTTTCTGAATTACTAATCTGTAGATCCATTAAAAACATTAGTCAGGTGGAATTGAAAGGTGGTGGGCAAAATAGCCACGTCACCGGCGAATAATCTTCAGAACAAGCACCACCTTTCGAGAAGTGAATTTGTTAGCTACATTACATCGCTATACAAGCTTTTAAACGAAATATTTTCAACTAAGCGTCGGAAAATTTCTCAATAGACGTCTACAAAGGTTCATAATTTTGAATGTTAATTTTCTTTTATACGTTCTTTTTAATACGTCATTGTTATTAGGTACATTGTTAGATGAATATTGTATTAGTAGCTTTGAGTTTATAGGATTTGATTGATTGGCTTTATACTTGTTGACCTTATACGTATGGTTGATAGAAAGATTGAGTGGAATCTTTATAAATCTAATTTCATCAGGCTCCATCTTATTTTCGTCTATTCTGGACACGGATAATATGTTACGACATGATATTGAATTAAGTTTAAAAATAATAATAGCAATAAGCGGTAGGTAAATGTTGTAAATTTATAAATCTAAGTACTAGGAAATATTTTTTTACGTTAAGATATGAAGTAGTCTTTCTAAATTTCTGGCTACTTTCAAATAAAATAAAATCGTTTTAGGGTAAAAATTCAAATAGGATTTTAAATTTTTTTTAACGCACACATACACACGTCTTGCACTAGGGAAAACCAGAATCGCCGGTGCCATGGGCACACACAGACAACCACAAATTACACACAACTCACGAGAGAAATAAATGTGGGCCATACGAATATTTCTCCCGGCCCGAGAATCGAACCAAGACCTCTGCGTTGCAGAATAGTTGCAGACCAGCAGTGTAACCGTTCGGCCATACAGGCAGTTAAAATGTTAAGGTTTCTAAATTTATAATTTATAGTTTAGTTAAGGCGATTCCATTTGTTTCGGTTTCGATTAACTTAGTACTCGCTTTGGTATCAGACATGGATACTGCTAAAATTCATGTATTATTTTAATACGAGTTCGGATGCAACACTAATGCAGAACCAAAGCTCGAACGACTCTAAACATTAATTAATGACCGATATGGAAGGGATAAAACTAACGAACGCTTTGTGTGTATTAGGTTTGTCTGATTTCACAATGAAAATGTTGACCTAGCTAGCCATGAGTTTTGTGGACGATTTGAATAATTACGAGTTGCAATCTATTGTTGAAGCCGATCCATCATAAACTACGGAAAAACCAGCATGTTTTGACGTAACTTTACCCATAATTCTGACCAACAAAAAGAAATAAAAATGGGAACCTCACGAATAGTCCGAACGTCAATAATCGCAAACCATCAACACAGCGGTGGCATCTTGGTGATTGTGAATAAAATTATCTTTCAATAAAATGGCAGAAGTGCAATAAGTGTCATGGATTATAATAAATGAATGTTATTTGTTTTGTTTTTAAGCGACTTCAAAAAAAGAAGGAGGAAGGAATTGAACTGCTTTTTTTGGTGTGTATTATGTGTACGCGATTACTCTGACATTTGTGACCCGTTTTCGAAGATTCTTTTCTTATTGGAAAGGGGGTCATCAGTGGTTCCATTCAAATTTGAAGAAAATATTCCAGGGATGAATCCGGTTTATTGGATTTCACCTACTTTCCGTTAATCAATGTCAATTAAACTTGGTAAATAAATGTAACTGCAGAAATTCTTGACGTCGGCTTTTTTTTTTAAGTTATAATTATGTATCTTCCGTTTAGAACAGCAATTTCATACTTTAACTCCTATAAGTTTGAAACGAAGCACTTTGTAGATAGTTCTCAAACCTGTGAGAGTTCTGAAGTTTACTTTAAATCAGTGACCGTTGAAGCTCACTTTCCTTATTTTTTAGTAACAGTAGTGCTCCTTGTGTAAAAGTTCGTCCAGGGTAATACTGCCTTACCTATTGCTGCCGCCAAGTAGTAATGTTATCATTACTGTATTCCGGTTTTGAAGGGTAGGGGTGCTGGTGAAATTACAGGCACAGGGGACTTGTCAACTTTTGTCGCAGTGCCCCTCAGGTATTTGTGATTTGAAGCTCTTGAGTGGCACTGCAACTTTTATTACAAGCGTGTAGCTTACAATCAGGCGTACGACTTGTTCGATCGGTTACTTGATATTTAAAAAAAAATATTATTGAGAGATTTTCAGATCTCGTATGTCTAAATCGAGGAAACATAACACTTTAATACTGACCTATAAGACTATCGAGCACGACCTTCAGCGCAGGGCGGTGGCGTAGCACACGTTCAAGGCGCATACGCGGCCAGCATATGCAAGTGCATACCTCCTCTGCGATCACTGACACCTGCGTAATAAACATCAAATTCGTACCCTTGGTATAATAAAGCCACGCATGACCATACATCAAAAGTGCTTTTAGCACATGAAAGTCAAAAAATAATAACTACATGAAACAAATTATGTATGTCCACACTGAAACGGTAAAACGTCTAATGTGCACTTGAATAATATAAATATAATTTTCTCCTCCTAGCGTTGTATACCTCATTACTGAGGTACGTGACTCCCCCGCGGAAACAAGTTCCGCATGACAACGCTGTGCCATCTGTGGCGGTCTTTTTCATAGATTAGCGCATTATGGAGACCCATGCCGAGAGTCGTAGAAACTTGGTCGGATCATCTCGTGGGACAGCGATCCCTCCGACGTTTACCGTCGATCCGTCCGGTTTTTGTTAATTAGTTATTCGATGTTATTCCTTGTGTTCTTTCCTGGCAATTTAATAATACTACTATTGGACTTACGCTGCTAACAGATTGACTGCACGTTTGCAGTTAATGCGTGAAGTCGTAATCAATTTCATGCAGCCGAGACCTCGACTGCATGAAGTTGACAACACCTTCACACATTAATTGCATGTAGCCGAGATCGACTGCATGCCGTTAATGCGTGAAGTCGTTGTCTGAGAACTCGACAGCATGAAGTTGATAACAACGTCACGTATTAATTGCATACAGCCGAGATCGACTGCATGCAGTTAATGCGTGAAGTCGTTATCTGAGACCTTGACAAGTTGATAACGACTTTTTGCGTTCGCACGTAGACTGTCCACAACTCGCTAAATTTAACTTGAAAATTCTCCGTAGGTTTGCTATTACACCTTTGTATATTAGTGCCACCATTCTGGGCTTCAATTCCTGTGTCCCAAGGTTCTATAGAATAACCGTTACATAAGGTTTTTGAACACAATAAATTGTACGTGTTAGGGTTGAACGCCGGGCGTGGTTGCCGCCATGCTCGGTAGCGAGGAGTCCTGTGAGGCGGTGGGCCTCTTTTTGCGGAGAGGTTATATCGCAAAAGGAGGCTGCGGAGCGGGTGCGCGAGGACGCGGCGGACGCGCACCCGCTTCGGCGCAGACGTACGGGGAAAAGGCGAAGGCAGTTCGCTGCTCGCCTGATCCCCGAGTGAAGCCTGCGGGCTCTGGGCAGGGACTCCGGAGCCTGCATTGCACGGCCTCACTCGTCTGTGGGGCGGGTCGGAGGACAACTGACCTGCCCCTTCGTTGGCGTCAGGGCTCCCTGGCGCAAAACAGGGCGGCCGTGCGGCGTCGTGGTGAATGTGTACCGACCCCACGGCGCCGACTCAACCGGCGGGTGGTAAACCCGGGGGAGTTTTAGTGGGGTATGCCCTCCAGTCTGAAGGGAGAGTCCCCACATAAATATAAGGGCTCAGGGGTATCTATAAAGATTTCCACCCGTAAAAAAAAAGAAAAAAAAATGGAGCGCGTTGAATGGCGGAATGGCGGCCGCGGGGAGCGCGGTCGCCTGGTAGGTTCCGTGACGCTGTGTGCTATGCGTGTGAGCACAGTGAGGGTCGTATTCCAGAACTCTACTCAATACTCAAGTCAGGACTTCAGTATTGCAGTGAGCACTGAAAATCATACTCAAGTCGTTGCCATTAGGGTCGTATTTCCAGTGCTTGAAATCATGCTCAAGTCTGCTCACTTTACTCAATGCTCAAGTCAGGACTTGAGTATGATTTCAAACACTGGAAATACGACCCTAATGGCAAGGTCTTGAGTATGATTTCTAGTACTCTAAATCATACTCAAGTCCTGACTTGAGTATTGAGTAGAGTTCTGGAATACGAAGACGAAGAGCGCGAACACAAGCTGTGTTCACTCATAAGTAGTTGTGCAATTTATATCATCTTCACCATATTTAATTTATAGTATGTAACATGGTAATAACAGTAAGTGGACCAATAAAGTAACTACAAAAAAAAAATATTAATAAGAAAATTGTAACTCCAATTTTATTTAATTAAATTTTTATTGAATTGATATTCAATTATTTTTTGTGAAATTACTCCACTAGTTTGTTATAATAATTAATACAAAGATCGAACACTCAGAAAAAAATCCTTCGATCCGGTCGGATTCGAACCGACGTCTTCTTGCATACCGTGCCAGACGCTATACCATCCAATTTTATTTGTTATTAAGTAAATATGGAAATTTCAGAAAGTTTCAGTTTTTCCATATGATATATGATAAAACTACTTAGAATTATGATTTTTTTTTCCTTAAAAGAATTACTTTAAATCGCTCCCTTGTAGGTAATATTTCCCAAATGTACGTTAGGCGTTTTACATTTTCAGCGTCTATATGTGAAATTTTAATGATATGATAATTCTTCTATTAAAGCATAAAAACTTATCGACTAATTTCGTTGGTATAATCATTAAAAATCTCTCTTGAAAAGTTGTCATTTTGCAGATTTCTTACTTTTTTAGTTTCCTTGCGCCGAAATAACCTATCTCGCTGTACTATACTGCCTTCGTAACGAAAAAAGGCACAACTATGCGTACTTTATACAGCAGTTGTGCCTTTTTTCGTTCTGAGGGCAGTATAACATATCTTGGTCTTAAAATACTATGATGGGTAGGATATTCGGCAGGGTTAGGTTTATCGCCGACAATTCCCGAATAACGATAAAAGCTTTTCGTGCACTTTTTCTGAGTACGTACATAATATACATGAAATAGTATGTTGCATGCATGTATGCATGCATAAAGGTGGTAGACTAGTCGGAGAATGGTTGCTTCTCCATGGAGAGAATCACTGTTCCAGTTCAACTTTAATCTCTAAGTTACGTACATTTGTGAATCTTTAATAGTCTCTTGACAACGATGAAACTTGCACGTGATAAAAGGTTTACAACCCTTAAACCTTACACCCTCTCTTTAGAGGAGACCCGTGCCGTGCAGTGGGACGTATAAGGGGGTTGACGATGATACGATGATGAATGCGTGTATGTCTTTGGAGTGTAAAGCTATTGACCTAGGTACTATAATACTATTTAATAAAGCAAGTCGTGTTCTGAAAAACTAAACATTTAGTTCAATTTTGTTACAAAAACGAGCGGTGAAATTGGGCGAATTTCCGTTACCGAGGGTAAGTCTAGGGAAAACGCTGAGGCGACTGAAGTGGTTATTACAAACTGATATTTGGCGGACTTGACAGTGACTTTTGACGAGTTTATGAAGAAACTCACAAAGCTCCCTTTTTAAGTAGGTGTATATTTTCCCGCAAATGTGCCGTAACAGTTTAATGTTTACTTATTAAGCAGAATGGGGTAGTCGTTAAAGTCGTCAGCCATCTGCTGCGCCAAGGCACTTTACACGTTATTTTATGGATAGTATTTGGTTTTTGAATCAGTGAATAAATTTGTGATTATTCTACGCACTACACTACCACCTTCTCACTTCTCACGGAAACCTTTAACATGCTATAATAAAATCGTGTTTCTTGATGATGTACGCAGTAGATAAAATATTTTTCACAACTTTGACAATAATAGTATTCTTAACTTTAAGCAGTGTATTTAAACCATGGCGTAATTACTGTAACTATTTGGGTTAGGTTTATGGTGCGCTCAAATTAAAGGGGTTCTCATTAAGCTATAAACTTAGAGCTTAAAAATCCTGGCGCCAGACATCGTAAAACTATAAAGAAAGTGGATAAGTACAGCCATATAAAGTTTGGTTAAAATATTGCTTTCTTTCTTTTAAGATACATGACTAATATAGCCGTATCTAATGGTGACTAAAGAAGCTTTCGCCAATGGAATGGAGTGCATATAAACGGGTCTTATACTAATTTTGTTTAACAAATCCTCTTTCATTGGGATAATGTTTTATTCGCATCGCGTGTTGAATTATTTAGCGTAATCGTGCGCAGAATTACAATGAAACGCGTCACTTCTCGCTAACCGCAAAAAAGATCCATTCCTCAAATCTCTTTCGTATAATATCTTAAACTTATTCGAAAACTGCAACAGCTGCTGTCCGCTAATATTGAAGTAAATATCTCCAATAGCGGTTGGGAAATATTATGTTTTTATTCTGCATACAACGTATAGGTATAGATAGAGCGTACGTGGCAAGTAAATCTATTGCATGTGGTCGTTGAATCACACCTGGGGCCAATATAAATGGAAAATTCTGTAGTTTTACCTCTAATTGCAAACGGAAAAGCTCTAAGTTATTCAAGTTAAAGAGCCATTTTGTCGCGAGTCTTCAGGTTCATGAATGTGGAAATTAAAAGGTCTAAAATTTCTGTATTTTAGAAGTAATCACGATTACAATATAATTTAACAGTAGACCATAAAACTATAAAGATATTAGATATATACTACTTAAATAAAAGTGTGAAAATTATAGTGCGGATTATTTCATGAACTAATTAATTAGTATAAATAGGTAACGATATAATTTATTCAGTGATAGATAATAAGGTTAATGGCGTTAGGTACTTTAAGTTGATAAATAATAAACGATATAAAGAAAACTCTTTCGATACCTATGCTCGAAAATAATTATATCAATAACGTCGGAGTAATTCTAAATACTTAAAACATATTTACCTGGAAGACATCATCAGATTGTTCGCGGTTAGCCTCCCACTCGGGCGAGTCTACGAACTGATAGGGCTGTATGAAATGGAGATGTGTTTCGTCACAGCTTACTCGCATCCTGTCACGAAATAAAATGTAAAAACATTTATATATTGTATTGTTTATTTAAATTAACTGTATTTGTATATCGTTCTTGGATTTTATGTTGAATTCGTGTTATAATATTAAGAATTACCCGATGTAGCTAAGTCACTAAACGGTACGTAAATTTTGTTTAAAATTTGTCTTTCGGAAAACGCAATCCTCTGAGACCCACTATTATAAAGAAGACTACGATTTTATGCACATGGCCCGCAGTTTGTAGATAACAAAGTGAACATTTTTATACTTAATAAAGTACAAACTTCATATATACTCATATAGATATGCATTATATTATTAAATGGCAAAATCTGTACGACAAAAAAATAATGTGAATATGTGAACGCATTTCGTAAGCTTTACTTGAATAGAGAAAGATAAAAGTTTCAAGTAGACTCGTAAATTTACACAGTTGTGACCACGTCGTACTATGTGAGGCACAAAAGTAGACTGTAATAATGTCATATTGCTCCCTGATGGTTTAAGAGGGAGATGATATTATATGCCACGGGTTGTGCGTTAGTGGGCTAGCCCAAATAATACGTTAAGTGACACCTAATAGTTGTCATTATGTGTACTGTCCCCGGAGCATTAGAGGGTGGTTGCCCTCTTCTGGGCTTTGGGAATAATAGTTTGCGTTGTGTATTTTACATTAACGATGCGTGCTTTTTTTGTCCACAAATGATTAAAATAACACTCAAGTAATTAATTTTCTGCAATTTTCAAAATCGAAAAAATATTTTCATACTCTATAAGTACTAAAAAGTAAAAATGTTAATTTACTTTAGCCACGAACTATGGATTTCAGTACTAAAGTGCTGTATTATTTTAATCTTCTGTTTAATAGATATATCATTAGCGGAATAAAGTATTAATGTAGTCAAATATAGGTACGTTTGTAGACTCATACTGAACCAGAGGCAAAAGAAAAACTGCGAAATGATAAGTTTATTATCGTTCATAAATAATAGGGGCAATAAGACGACAGCCAGGTGAAAACAGACTGCCGGGAAATAATGCCTACTGTTAATAATTTAGGATATATATTTTCTTACATAAAGGAAATGTTATTAGGAGCTTTTTGGTTTCGTTTGGACAATTTTGAAATATGGCATATCTAATGAGTGGTAAGTCATACCTAAAGATTTAGTGTTAAAATTCTTTGTCGAAAATAATAATACCTAGTGTCCTTTACATAGTATTCGAGTTTGTACTTCAAATCGTGACGGTTATTGCTTTAAGATACTCGAACATAAGTATAAAACTCTTACCAGAATCTTATTATTACAGACGAGGAAATCAGAATAGATATTCGCAATACGCATCCTTAGAATAAAATGATCTTGATAGTTGTAAGTTTTAAATAAATGAATTAATTATATATATAATAAATTAAATTATAAATTAAAATTAGGGTATCGTGTTTTTGTCTGATTTGTCGTTATAGGTCAAATCAGCGAAACTGTCGTTACCGGTCAGGTCAGCGAATTCTGGGACGCCAAATTAAGGTTGCCTTATCATTATTTTTCATTTTATGTAAAGAATGAAATGCATAAGATAATAAATATACTGTCAATAAATTTCCACACGGACTAAATAAATTTCCGTGTGTCAATGCGTATTGAGAGACGTCTTAGAGAGAGCGTATTCTCTTAAGATTTCGTAATTTGAGGCCGAAAATTTAAAAATTAAGCACGCAAAAATATTCTCGCTTTATTATACCATTTGTTTTTCTGATTCATAATAGAGTGTTTACATAGATGCATTATTCGCTGCATACTTGTAAGACAATTTAGAGCGTAAAGGCGTTCGTGGAACATTAAAACTTTGTCCATTACTGTCACATACGTTTTAATAGTAGCCGAGTTGTAGTCGTTGTAACTGAAGATTTCGTTGAACTGGCAATAAACATAAGTCAAGTTAAATTGGAAGTATAAATCAGTAATTCATGACAGTCGAATATTATTTTAAGAATGAAAAAAAAGTACGTTCGAATCTGGGTGATTTTCATGTTAGTTTTTTCCATCTAATTTTGGTGGCAAATTTTATTATTTAAATATTCTAGAATATTATCATCAAGTATTATTTAATATTCTTGAAATATTATTTACTATTTTACCATAATATACTCGAATACTTAAATAATAAAAATTGCCACCGAAATTATGTAGAGAAAACTAACCTGAAAATTACCCGGCTAGAACTTTAACCACATGTGAATTTAATCTACAGCAAGTAGAATAATCCATTTAATCATTGCTATAGAATATATTTAGATTTAAAACAAAGATTAGTAGGAATAGAATACGCACTTCCCCTTGAGTAATATAGACAATCTCTCGTCAGCAGGCGTGACCTCTTCGACTGCATATGCCTCACCAGGTTCAAGGCGCACCACGCGCGCCTCACGCGTTAACTCTTGAAAGTGTTTTTTGTTCACTTTAAGTGGTTTGAAGAGTTTCAGGTACAGTTCTGTCAGCTCCAGGGACAACGCCGGCGGTAGAAACCTGTGGTGTTTTTGTTCCTGTTAATAATGTTGCAGCGGGACTAAGGTGATAACAAGAGTCTAGTGTTTGAATCTGTTGTATATTTTTAGTAGCAGTAGAGTTCCTTGTAAAAGAGTTCGTTCAGGGAAGTACTGTCACCTTACGTATTCCTGTCACCAAGCAGTAATGTGAGCATTGCTGCGTTCCGGTTTTTAAGGTAATAAAAACCGGAACGCAGCAATGCTCACACAACTTGTTCTTCCCCTCACTTGGTACCATAAAAAATATATAATATATATTTTCAAATACCTGTACTATTTATTGTTTTACATATTTCGCGTTATTTGTCTTACATTTCCTGCTCTCAATATGCGGTCGTGGTAATTAATTTTGTTTGTTTTAAATTAGAAGACTTGTCAAGAGTCAAGCGCGGAAAAATTCGCGAGAATACATTTTAAGCTAATTCAAATCTTGATTAGACAATCAGTAGATTGTGGATTGTCGATGCAGTGGCTGAAAGAAACATTGAAATTTTTTTCATATAAGGTGATAAAATGTTAACATTCCTTCGAAAGTGTGGTCCAACATTGTATAAATTGTTTAGTATGAGTTTCTTTAAAAATGAATTGTAGGCGATAATCGTCAATTTACGGTTAGCGTACCTATTATGCATTTAGTATAATTCTCGACTCTACTTGAGCGATGACTAAAAAATTTGGCAACATGCCATCATCGGCCTAGGGACTAAACCAGAGGAAAACTTGACTAGCGTAGAAAAAGTGATGAACCTTTGTCAAGACTGTTATGTCTAATTACACAAATGATTTCGAAAGGTCGAAAATAAAATTAATTTGTTCCATGCCAAAATACAGATATGATTACCCTTAAAAATTATGCAGGACTTTGAGGGTCACCCTTTATAATATTTTGAATAGGATTTCAATATCAAATAGGATTTGAATAGGACTTGATTACGTATTACATTTTTTTAAAGTGATTTAATGATTAATGCGTGAATTACCTTATTATTAAAAAAACAGTATGAATAGAGTTGACGAACACCAGAGCGAGGCTCCATGCGAGCACGTCAGGTGCGCACACCTCCGCACCAGCCCACATCCCCATCAAGACCGCGCCCGCCGCCGCCAGCGCTCGCATCACCAAAATACTCTGCTTGAAGCTCTTCGGCGCCAGAAACGCGATTGCGAAGCAAAGATTCGCAGCCTGTTTTAATAAACCTCGTTTGATATCGCGTTTTATTGTCTTTCGCTGATGATTACATGAAAATATTTAAATCGCGGACAAAAGGTAGATTATTGTAGTAGTCGATTATTACTTAGATTTGCAATCGTATAATTTGATGAAAGAAGTAATTATAGAAATAACAACAAACGCACCTGAAAAAGATCCTGCTGTGCGTTGGTCCACTTGGCGCAAAACCAGTGGTTGTCGTGTTCTTCAGTGTAATTGGTGGAGAGCAGGTCGTACTCGGAGTCGAAGGAGAGGTTGAAGCGTGAGACGTTGAAGGCGAGGGTGGCGTTGGCGGTGAGCCAGGGTGCGGCGGAGACGGGCGACGAGGGCTGCGGCGCCGGCGCCATGCTGCGCTCGCGCGACGCCGCCCGCGCGCCGCCGCCGCCCCCGCCCGCGCCTACCCGCACCTCGTCCCTGTCGCTGCCGCTAGCGCCCGCGCGCGCGCGCCCTCTTGTCGTCTGCTCGCCCTCTGCTCCCAGCACCGCACGATTTAGTTGGGATCTCGCTTTCAGTACCGCCAACTCCATCACCACACCCTGCCAACCCCTTCGCGTATGAGCTGGGACACCCCTCTATCTGCGGACCGATACGTGCTATTAATCACAGCGGCCGAAGTCTCAGCGACCGCACGCCCGATGAATAACTTTCTATTGGGACACGGTCGACGACCAATAATGCGCTTCTCGTGAGAGGTCTCATGAGACAAACAAAAAATATTGAGCAGCCGAATGAGAAAATATTTTACTTTCAAAACATTTTTGTTAAAAAACAAATATTTTTTATGACAAAATTGAATAAAGGGAATTTATAGTAAGTACTATTAATTAATATTATTAGTTTGGTTTTTGTACTATAAAATGAAGCTGTGCGTCCCTAAATATATAAATAATAAATAAGTAATAAAAAGGAAATAAAGAAAATCATATCTTTGTGTGTGAAAAGAAGGTTGGAAAACAGTATATGAAAAATATCCTCTAAACTCTTTTTAAACATTGTTGATTTTGAATATCGTTTGTATAGTAACGGCCTTGAACTAGTAATATCGTAATTTGGTTGTTGCTCTTTAAATATGCCTAATGGCGTATTGGTCTATTGTGCACTCATTGAAACTCTGTCTAATGGAATCTTCTGCCTATTTCTAGTCCAACTTCCAGAGTTCGCGTTGGTTACGTAACTCAATAAAACCTAACAATAACAGCTGGTGCTACGTTAAAGCTATTGGAAAATAAAAAATACGTCTCATAAAGTTTGTTATTTATTCGATTTTGTTTGGTTGAATTCTAAAGGTTTTTTTAAATTTAACAGCAGTAAATTTCATTTCATAGAGTCTTTCAATGTATTGAGTGGTATTAGTTTGTGGCGTAGCAGTTTCGTAACGGCGGCACGTGTAGCACTTTTCTACGCGCTTCACGCTTTTCGTTATTAATTTTCGTTGAGATCTCATAACATTTTCAACATAAATTATTCAATAAAGTGTTCAATATTATTATATCCGGATAGAATGTTTACATTTAAATTCCAATGAATACAGGGCCTGTCCTAAATTATGAAGCTATCTTCTACATTTAGGGTATAAAGTGCTTAAGACTGAATACTTTAGCATTACTGCATTTTGGTTTTGAAGGGTAAGGGAGCTGGTGAAGTTACAGGCAGTTTGGATATTTCAACTTCCGTCTCAGAGTGACAGGCGCAGTGGCAATACCCCTCAGATATTTGCGGATTTAAAGCCCAGAGCGGCAATACAAGTGATATGACCAGGCGCGACGATTACCACCAGGCACAGGACTTGATCGTCCAGGTATCGAAAAAAAAAGTCGTTACAAAATCTGGGTTGTGTAAAGATGTATGAGCTAACTAGTAGATTGTATGGCATGACAGAGGGTATGAACGTTGATGATGTAATAGAGTAAAACGCAAATTTCAATTAGTTTAATGGAAATTGCGTCACTGCGGTTCTCGGAACTGTTATCGACACGAGCTTCACTCCACTGCACTTTATTGCAGTCTGTGTTTAAGTCTGGTTGAAATATCTGAGGTTAGGATTATCCGCTGTGAAGGTGCTCGAACTTGGAAAATTGGGTATATGGGCTAATACTCATAGTGTGATTCATTGTTTACCCAATACGACATAGTAACTGGAGCAATTGGATTGGAACTTTGTACGAACATGAAAATCTGTTTACTAAGATGTGTTTTACACATTAAATTTTGAATTTCAAAGATAAATGTCCAATATAGCATAAATAATCAGAAAACATACCAGCGACAACACGACTGGACGATTAATTAATGTCTACGTATTTATGTCTATGTATTTATTTTTTCACGAAACCTTATTTATATAATAATAAATAAGTATAAAAATATTTGTACAAATAAATAAAAAAAATTCATTGTCACTTAAATTAAAACTTTGAAATTATTAATAAAAGAGTATGCCGCTATATAAAAAAATGCCGAATATTTCTTTCTTACGTGTTCTGTAATACCTACAATGGACAATAGTTATAATAAATGAAAGTGAAGAAAATGTAAAGACAAAACGCCAATGTCTACACATGTAAAGGTCAATATCGCGTACCTTTTTCTATACATAACCTTTAAATATGAGAATATGTGTACATCCTCTAAGATAATATTTAAAAACTCCAAGACCATCTTATGTTACGTTTAAATTAAATTACGCAAATAGTCCTTTCCGCGTAATTTGTATTGTATTGCATTTGAGATTAAAAACAAAGTTTTTGAACAAGAGGTGAATGATGCTTTATAGTTATTTGTCCTTCTAACGATGGCGCTGTCAATCATCTTTATAATTTTGCGGAGAAAATATCCGGATAATGGCGTCTTTTCACCAGGGGTCAATTCCATATACTCGAAGCGTGTCGTAGTCAATATATTAAAATTAGAAAAACACCCAACCCATAATAGCTCGTAAAGGTAAGGAAGAAAGAGACTAGCTAAAGGAGGATACGAGATAAGCCAAGACGCGAGTAAATGAAATGTATGAAATGTATTACAGACCCCATACATAAATTAATTGAGAGCGGAATGTAAAATGCAAATAAGTAGACTCTGAAGTGGCCGCGCTGTCGTGTCTCAGTAAGCGTGTAATCTGCAACGTTTTAACTGAAAATTGTTTTGAAGTTCCCATTTAGTATTCTACATATACGTGGGGCGCACTATAGGTTTCCGGAAAGAATAAGAAAAAAAACTATGAATGGTCAGAAATGAATTTATTGTTTCTCAAAATATTCTCCGTTAGTGTTAATGCACTTTTTCACACGAATCAACCAATTTTGAAAACATTTATGCCACTCCTCCGTGACAATCTCTGAAACATATTTTTCATAATCTTCGACAGCCTCTTCTGGTGATGAAAGTCGTTGACCGCGTAACTGGTTCTTAATTTTTGGAAATGAATAAAAGTCACAAGATCGGGACTGTACGCGTAATGCTTATGAGGTCAACGTTGTTCGCCTTCAAAAATTCATTTGTCTGTCTGGCCGTGTGAGAACTGGCGTTATCGTAGTGAAAGATGATACGGCGTTTACGATTATTTTTACGGAGTTTGTCAATAACTTCCGGCAAACAAATGGTCGTGTACCAAACACTATTCACGGTACAACGATTCTCCAAAGCAACAGCAGCCACGTGTCCAATTTTATTAAAAAAAGAAGCAATCATCCGTAGAGGCATTTTGCACGCGCGCCAGTTTGGTTGGTTTCGGCTCATCTCGAAAGACCCACACGCTCGATTGCTGCTTTGTTTTGGGATCGTAACTATAAAGCCATGTTTCGTCACCTGTTACTATGTCCCACACCAAATTTGACGCCCCTTCGGTGAATCTGGTAAGCATGGCATTGCACCAAGTGACGCGATCCGTTTTTTGAGCCTCAGTCAAATTATGTGGGATGCATCGAGAGCACAGCTTTCTCACACCCAAATGTTTGTGTAGTATTGATTGTATTTAACTCATGCCTACGCCTAAAGACGCCCGAATCTCATGGTATGTCACATGCCTGTCTGTTTTGATCATACGGCGCACAGCATCGATGTTTCTGTTGTTCACAGCAGTGGACGGGCGACCATCACGAAATTCGTCACTGAGATTCACACGATCGCGTTTGAATTCTGCAAACCACCTATAAATAGTCGTCTTGCATGATGCTTCATCGCCAAAAGCAGTTTGAAGCCGAGCGAAGCTCCACTGAGCTGTTAAATTACACTTAAAGTCGTAGAAAATCATACTACGAAAATTTTTGCGAGTTAAATCCATGGCGATGTAGACAATCAATTTCTAAAATGACGCCACAATGTAAAAACAAGTGACACTCAGATGAAACAAACTGTATTCTACAGCCAAAGAGTTCCATTTTCAAATGTTGTAATTACTTTTTAAATATTGTTTATGTAAGTCGCCAGTTCCGGAAACTTATAGTGCGCCCTATGTATATACATACATGTGTATATAGACACCTAACCTGTACTTGAGGAACGCAAGATAGAGAACGAACAGCGCCTGCCTTCAGTCTGCATGCAGCGTGTGATACGCCATGTTGGTCACGTGACGCGTAGAGATGTTGATGACCTGGATCATTTGATGGTGCCAGGGAAGGTGGAAGGAAAGAGATTTAGAAGCGGCAGTCCCAAACGGTGGTCGGATCAGATCTCCGAACAACTGGAGTTAAGCTGTCAGAGCCACACTCCACCAGGCGACTGAACGCAACCGATGGAGACAGATGGATGATTGGTAAGATTAGTTGGAGTCGCGATCCTCAGCAGTGAGGAAGTGATTAAGAAGACGAATACCTAACCTATGTCTTAATTTAGGACATAAAGTGCGAGTATCAATCCACCGAATTCTCGAATTTCTAAATCTTATTATCGGAGGAAACAAACAAACTCACAATTTATTTATTAAATGAGTTTATTCCTTTTGACAGTGTACTATAATTTTTCATCAAACAAACAAGAATGGAGCGAACCGGAACAAAATATGAACTAGAGCGCTAAGTAATGACGTTTGCTGTGTTTTCCATTTTCCAAGCGCATTTTGAGTTTTTTCTCAGCTCTTTGCCGATTTACCTTGACCTATGTATTTTACTCGATATATACGTTGTTTACAATTATTATATGTATTAATATTATATAGACAATGACCGCGTTTGACGGTTTACGTTACGTTAATAAAAGATTTTTTACAAAAATTAACCGACGTCATAGAAGGACCCCTCCTTCTCAATTCGACAGTATTATTTTGTGTGTATGTTACGCGATTACTCCGACATTTGTGAATTGATCTCAGCAGAGGCCCTATTCAAATTTGAACAAGATATTGCGCAAATCGGGATTGATTTCAATTCATTGCATTTCACCCACTTTTCGTTACTCGCTTTCAATAAAACTTGTG